CTTACAATCTACAGTTCTACATACAACTCTGAAGCCTGGTTCATTTATTCCAGCATTTATAAAGGATGATAGAGGAACGGGCAACGGGACAACAGCAGCAGCCTATGCTCTCAGCTGTTTAGTGCAGTGTTTCCCTCTGAATTCTCTTTCTAATCAGTCACGTCATCTTCACACCAGGCAGGGAGAAGCAAACATTGTGCATAGATTAGCATGAAAACATCGACTGCTGTGATCTGCAGTACACTAGGGAAAAGAAATACACTATAATAATGAAGATAGACATTTTGTGAACATACTGGTTGTACTCCAGAAGTGCACAGTGGCAATCAGGGACACAGTTTATGCAAGCTGCGCTTTCAGAAGGACCCAAGATACCCTCAACCTTGTGACACATCATACGAGTCTGATAATCTTTTATGCTGTTCAAGTCTCATCCAAGGAGGAGCTCTATGTCCCTTTTCTTCATATATGAAGAGGAACACAATAGGTTCTATTCAGCATACCACAAGTAGTATTTTCAGTACTGTGCATTCTACACTGTGGTTTCTTTTTTATGTTAAATTAACACTAAACTGAGAACTTAAGTTTTAAAAATGCATTCAAGTACCTTAATTATTAACAGTGTATCTTATTTGTGTATCACTCAGCTGTAGATCCTCGAATCATCTCTGAATTCATGCCGACACTGTGCTTCCTTTTGGAGGGTGACTCATTTTGTTCTCTATGGTCCCTGTGTGTGCTGTAAAGTAGCAACTGCTCCAAGCTCACTCCTGTGATGGACTACAATCTCACATTTACTTTACTCATTTGTATTGAGATTGTAGTTGATCATCGGAGTCAGCTTGGAGCAGTGGCTACTTTACAACACATAGGGACCATGGGGAACAAAATTAGTCACCCTCCAGAAGCAAGGACAGTGTCAGCACCAATTCAGAGATGATTTGAGGATCTACAGCTGAGTGATACACAAATAAATTAAATTTTTATTAATATAGGCAAATGTTGTTTAAGATTTAACTCCTGAGTTTAGTGTCACTTAATGAAAAGGATATCTGAATAACGCATTACCACATGGATCAGTTCAATGTACCACACATTTTATTCTTAATGTTTACTTTGTTTAGATATTTGTACTGTAAAAGTCAATTGACAAACCATTTTACATGGTATTATGCTTCGTGAGATAAAGAAGTTGATATTCTAAAGGTGAATAAGCTGTTCACTTTGCGGGGGAATGTTCCCTTAGCTTAGAAAATAAGGTGAAGCTCCATCATTCAATCATGTACAAGTAAAAATACAGGTTTTGTTTTTTGTTGCTTTCCTTGCACACGATTGGGTATTCTTTGCAAATTGAATTTTTACCACACTCACTAAGCTAGTGGTGGACAAATATTTATGGAATTTCAGAACCAGTCTGTCCAGTCCAGGAAGATTTGTTTTAGGAGTAAGCTCCATTGACCACAACTAGAGAAAACCTCAAAAGTTGGGCACCAACTGTAATTTTTAAGGAGCATTGGCTACCTGGCTCCTGGGATTTGTCTAGTCCTGCACTAAGCCAAGGAAAAATCCCCTTGCAAAGTGAACGGCCTATTTGCCTTAAGTAAATCAAGCGCAAAATATCAATTTAGAGGAAAAGACTTTAAAGGAGAACTATGGGGTTAGGGCTTTTCCCCATAGTTCTCCTCAGGGTAACGGGAGGACACAAACTAGCGTCCTCCCGTCACCCTAAGCTCAGTATATCGCGGTACACTGAGACGCCGCAGCTGGAGCGGATCCCGACAATTATGTGTGGATCCGCCCAGCTGCGTGAGTGACAGCTGGCTCTGCCTATCTAGAGGCAGAGCCAGCTGTACCCGCCCCCTCCCCGTCCATTCTGCCAGTCAGCGCTGGAGGATCGGAGCGGGGAGGGTGGAATCCAGCAGAGTGCCGTGACAGGATTGAGAAGTGTGCGAACGCCGGTATGTGTTCGCTCACTTCCCCATCTACTGGGCCGACCTGTGACAGTTTCATTGTCACAGGTGGGCTAGAGCTATGAGGACGAGTGAAAAGCACTCACCTCACAGTTCTTCTTTAAGCCGCTAATTGCCCATTTTATATGAAATATTTATGTTTGTTAATTGAACATTTGTAGCAGAAATTCAATACAATGAATTAAAAAAAAAACTCCAGCTTCAATAATATATACATTGGTCCAATGTACAATTACATTAGTCCAATTAGCTTGGCATAATGTAAATATATATACACATATGCAGCGTGTATATTTATATACGGCTGCAGCGAACGATTAGCTGAAAAAATTATTTTAAGGACAATCCATTGGTTGCATTAAAAAAAATCTCTCTCTGTGACCAACAAACCGATAATGGGAATAGTTGCCAACTATTCTCATAAGTTGTTGCAACCCTATATATATATATAGATATATCTATATACAGTATATACACAGTATATACACACATACACACACAATATATTGCGAAAAGTATTAGAAGTAACTTTGTGTGGCCTGTACAAAAAGTAACTTTGTGTGGCTTTCAGACTGGCACAACTGGCAGAGAGCTTCATGGAATGGGTTTTTATGGCCGAGCAGTTGTGTCCAAGCCTTACATGCAGTGGTGTAAAGCACGCCGCCACTGGACTCTAGAGAGTTGGAGACGTGTTCTCAGGAGTGACGAATCACGCTTCTCTGTCTGGCAATCCGATGGATGTGTCTGGGTTTGGTGGTTGCCAGCAGAACGGTACTTGACTGACTGCATTGTGCCAAGTGTAAAGTTTGGTGGAGGGGGGGATTATTGTGTGGGGTTGTTTTATCAGGGGTTGGGCTTGGCCCCTTAGTTCCAGTGATGGGAACTTTTAAGGCATCAGCTTAGGTCTGTAAAGAAATGGATGAGCGAGTTTGAGATGGAGGAACTTGACTGGCCTGCACAGAGTCCTGACCTCAACCCGATAGAACACCTTTGGGATGAATTAGAGCGGAGACTGCGAGCCAGGCCTTCTCGTCCAACATCAGTACCTGACTTCACAAATGCGCTTCTGGAAGAATGGTCAAACATTCCCATAGACACACTCCTAAACCTTGTGGACAGCCTTCCCAGAAGAGTTGAAGCAGTTATAGCTGCAAAGAGTGGGCCAACTCAGTATTGAACCCTACGGACTAAGACTGGGATGCCATTAAAGTTCATGTGCATGTAAAGGCTGGCGTCCCAGTAATACACTGTAGAAGCCGCAGCTATTTCCCTGTGCTGTGATACTAAGAGTTACTCAGCTGAATATAGTCGCCATTCAAAGGAAACCTGGGAGCGATGCCATGATGTCACAGCCCCTTGTCCAATCAGAGAACACCTAATAATCATTAAGTAAAATAATAGATGTTCAGTCTGCAGGAGCCAGGGCACTGCATCCACGATCCACGTATGGCAATTGCAATGCTTTACTGGCTCCAATGCAAAAAAACCAATAAATGATCAGCCTTACTACACCCAATGTGGCTACACACATTTCAAAATGAAAGAAATCAAATGTACAACTCAGATTTTGTGAACATCATTTTAATTGTAAATGAAACACGTGCTGCAATTCAGCCTGGATTTCACATATTCATGCTTTATCTTGATTTTCTATCTATTCAGCATGAAAATGAATAATGCTGCATCTGTGCAAGCAGGTGTGCCACAACCGTAAAAAGCCATGATGCAGTGCATGACATTATAGTCAGAAGCCGGCATAATGAAAATTTCTTATAAATCATACTCGAAATAAATAAGCAGTATTATTCCGAAGATTGCTTTAAAATATTTCAAGTTTTTTTTCCATCCTTGTGTTTGTGTTGATGGACTTTGGGCTTATGTCAATGGCATCAGTCTGACATCGGTTTGAGCTGCTTTTTCGGAAATCATTAAAAGGTGCAGTTGAACTCTTTCTGACCTGCATTTGACTTTTACCAGAATGAAAGCCCACCAACATAAGCCCTAACAAAGTCTACCACTTTCATTAATAGTGCACCACATAGATCAATAGCCTGCCTGTGAGCCGGAGATTCTGCAGAGGGACATGGCACGCACCATTACAGTGAACAGAGCCCTCCCTACTTTTTTTTATGAACTGGTTAGACTGTGAGACATCTGTGGGGAGGTTTAATTAAGTTATAAGAGTCTCAAAACAAACAGCTTCATAGCACTATACTCTGGTAACACCTAGGCAAGTGTGGCAATAGGCAGGCAGCATACAGACAATCATACCAATAAATAACCAGCAGCCTTTAGCACCAGGCAATCATGATAATATGAAGGTAATAAATGTGGGCAACACACTGGCAATCCTGACAGCAGGTGGACAAATAATGTGGGCAATACATTGATAATTGAGACAGTACGTGGGCAAACAGCAAGAAATCATGGCATTTATTAAGAAATAAATGGGCACTCATTGGCACCCAATGCATGGGCAACAAATGAGCAGTTGTGACTTGTGTTGATGGACTTTGGGCAGACAACAAAAAGGCAATCATGATATTAGGTGGGCAGCAAACAAGCAATCCTAAAAATATATAGGCAACATATAATATTGGGCAACCCACAGCAGATCGGTTTACTGAACACTAAGGGGTCCATTTATAAAAGGTTTGCAGAGCAAACATCTCTGCAAACAAGATGGGCAGTGCATTATGGCCACTAGATGGAACCGAAGAGCATAGGACATTGCCCAGCAACCATAATATATTGTGTATCCTATGTGAATTATTTGATGAAACCATAAGTAGCTATGATGTATGGATGGTTTAAAGAAAAAAATCCACTCAGCATTTTTTACATATAAACTGACCAAAGGCGACATATAGAATATACATAGCATGGTTTCCACTATCTCCTAAACATCATAAAGCAGGACAGGCACAAAAACAAATATTGCATTATACATATTGTTTAGGAGATTTACATGTGTGAGAATGATTAGTAAAATCCAGATTTGTAATGAAAGAGAAGCAGGGTCATGCTTACCTTTTGGCACTAGTGGATAATTTGGCAGCAGTTTTGCTGGATATCTTTCCTTCTTTTTTCTTAGGTTGAACTTTTTCCCGCTCTTGCTCATTTTGAACCCCATCCCGCTGGTCTCCATCCGAGCTACCTCCACTAGTTGTTGGACTGTCATCCACCCTTTGGCTTTCAGTTGACATTTTGAAGATCTACATGATAAAAAATGAAAATTGTTATCAGTTACTAAGAACTATTGAAATGATAATGTCATAAATGGGCAGATTTTCCGTCCCAAAAAAATGATTCATTTTATTCCTTTCTCCACATAAACCTTTTTCATAACCATTGTTGCATCTGAATTTTATCATCCCTGTTTAAATTGGAGCTCGATTTTAATGCTATGTGCATCCAAGCTAAAAGGTGCCCATACACTGTTTGAAATTTGCACAGTTGCACAGTGTGCGCCGCTGTCAGTACCCTTTCGATCGGCATCCCTCCATCAACTGATCGAAGGAGCCAGACGGAAAATCTTTGATCAATCAGAGCCAGCTGCCAATGAGCTGCCCGCTCTGGTTGGGTATTCTGACACCTGTCAGAATACAATGTAAACAGCGGGATTCCTCGATCGTCACCGTTAGTGTTTTTGGGGGAATCAGGTCTATTTTTTTCTGTTCAGCACGCAGGTTGAACAAAAAAAATAGATCAGTGTATGGCCAGCTTAAGCAATGCACATTGCTAAGTGGCTGCAAGGTAGTCACTATACTGGTAAAGGTGCAAGCTATAACCAGGCAGTTCTTCCTGTTCCTATACCCTACTACTTGATGACGCCATCAATGTAATCCAGTAATCAGAAGTAGGAGAAGCCAGGATATGACTCAAAGTCTTAAAGTCCACCTGAATGTTCAGTTTGAATCAGCTAAATCAGTGGTTCTCAACCTGTGTAACCTCAGGACCCACATTTGTCCTTGGTCATTAAGTGGCGACTCAAGTCGCACTGCAATGGAACGCACAGCATTGCGGTACCGCGAGTTCCGGTGCAGGCGATCGAACTGTGGGTGGGAGGTGCGTTTAGGATGCCATTCAAAGATCCACCCAGTTTCCAAACCTTACGAGAGCTGGAGTGCATCCACAGCCTGGGGTCCAGTGTGGGCTGCGACAGAGCTCCATCCATATCTACAATGCTTGTACAGCTCCCTTGAGTGCCCTGTAGATGTGCCAGGAGCCAGAATGTGATATCACTCCAGTCCAGGCACCTCTACAGGGCACGCAAGGGAGTGGTACGTGTGGATGGAACTCCCTTACGGTCATAGCCCCAGCCCATCCCACCTCAAGCTGACACTCGGCACCAGGCAGCAGATTTTGAATGGCTGCTTGGCGAGAGAACTGACAGGAGGAGCTGAGGAGTCTCAAAGCTGGCATAGTGGAAGGCACACAGCGACCGACTGAACATGGGGTCGCGACCCACTTTTGGGATCACGACCCACCAGTTGAGAACCAAGGAGCTAAATGTATTCCCGATGCATCAAAACATAAGGTGTACAAGTCATACAGCTCACTGTCTTTACAAAACAGCTACAGTCTTTGTAAAAAAAAAGCCTGTCTCCTGCCAGCTTGCTGTAGATAAAGATCCTTACTTTATGTGTATATGCAGTGGTCTTTCTGCCTAGGTCCTACATGCCCACTAAGTCCGAGCTAGAGCTCACCAATCAGCAGGGAACATGAGCTTTGCTGATTATTTGGACTATAGATCTGACTCTGCAGAAGGCGTATTGGACCTCTGCAAAGAGACCACTGCTTCCACTCAGAAAACAAGAGTCCTTCTCTGCAGCATGCTGGCAGAGACCAGGTTCATTTGGGCTTTAAAAGGCACATGTGAGGCAAGAAGAATGGAAGGTGACTAGAAGTGTCATGTCTCTGGAAGTGGTCTGCTCTATCTAATCAGATATCACATGCTAAAAGTATATTAAATTGCTGATCATTTGATCCTATTAAACTCAGCTAATAATCCCTGCTAAAGAGCAACTGTTTCTTTGTCATTTTAGACCTTAGATAAAAACGAGTACTTAACCCTTGCATTTCTAGGGTAGCCCCACTGCAAGGGTTAAGTTTCTTCTGTCCAGAGTTTTTCATAAATGCTGACTACGGGAGTACAGGCATGTTATGTTGTGTGTCGGCACGGCATCCTGTAGCTCCCAACTGCAAGCTCGGGGATGCAAACTGACCACACCAGCACAGATCTGCTTTCATGCTTGGCGTAGTCAGAATGCAGCAGGAAGATAAGGGAACTGGCAGGATCACCAAGTATTTAGTAGAAAGACACTGGCAGAGGGAAAGGTAAAAAACAAAACTGGTAAAATAACCAAAAAAGAAATGCAAAACTTCAATATTATTTTTCTACAAAATGTAATCTTCTGTGAGTTGTTACATACACCAAGTACAGAAATCTCACGCTTGGAGTCACCAAGAGATATGAAAAAGCTGACTCCAATGGTGTAGGGTTCCCACCTGGGGGCGTTCACCCAAAAACTGATATTTCAATAAATAAAAGATCATTTGCATGCGTTACAATTTCAGCATAGACCTGTTACATTTCTATAAAACATTCTGTGACATGTTAAATCGTTGGGCCTGAAGCAGCAGCAGTATAATCACATTTTATTACTTACAACAGGATTGCTCACTCACAGGCCTAAAGAATTGTATCATATTTGTTTCTGGGCAATAGAACTTTAGGAGAAGGTGCTGATAGCTGCAGGAATCAATTTATGGCCGTTAGTAACAAATTTAAAGAGCGGGTATGATGTTTAACAGTTTGGAAAAGCTTTTACAGATGCAGTCTGACATTATGTTATCCTGACTAATGAGAACAAAGCGTTTCAATGCAGCCATAGGAAGATGTCAGTATGCTGAAGGAGCTTTGTTCTTGGCGAGGTCACCACAGGCAGAATGAGCTAGTACAGCTGCGATCTTTCTCTCTCCACTGTTGCAGTGAACTAGGCAGATCACCCAGTTTTTTTGTTTTATTTCTAGTCATTATAGAGCAAAGTGATCACTGATAAGGGAATCTGGTCACTTTGGGCATGTGTGGGAGGAGGATCAGAGGCTTGGAGAACCCACCTTCATGCACATCTATTGTTGAGCGCAAATTATGGCAGATCTTCATAGGCAGTGACCTGCAACAACTTTTAATCTTCGCACAGTTGACAGAAAATAACAGAGATTCATGCTAACGTGTTTCTTTTTGCAATGCTCTCTGCTGTGACTGTTTCAATCCTTCACTATTCAAAGAGTTCTTTATGACTGTTCCATGATTATTTTGAATCAATTTGTATATTACTCCAGACAAAACTCAGCGCGCAATTTCACATCCCTTGCTCTGGTGTAAAGGTGTGAACCAGGGCTGAAGGAAAAAAATGTTACAGATTTGAATAGGAGGTGAGGAGACTGAACCACTGTCAGGTTTTTATTGCTGTCTGCGTCCTTATTAGGGAGATTCATTCTCTCTAATTGTCCTGTTCACCAATGTCAATAGGAATTAAATTGAGAGCAAATCCAAAATTTTGAGCTGCCACCAGAACAGAAATGACTGAAGGTCCTCGAGCTGACGGCTTTCTGAAAAAAGCTAATTGACTGTCAGTACTCACCAATTCAATGATCCTAGATAACTAAGTGACTAGTAAATGCTTGTTCCAGATCAGTAACTCAGCCCATATAAAAGCACAACTCAACGCTCAGTTTAAATAAGCTAAATACATTTAAGGGACACATTTCAAATCAAAAAGTGTAGAGTCTTACAGTTTGTTTTCTATTTTAAAAAAGCCACAGCCTGATCAGAAAAGCCTGTCCCCTGCCAGCATGCTGCAGAGGATCTTTGCTCTATGTGTGGAAGAGGTCCTAATCCCCACATGGTGAGTCAGAGCTCATTAATCAGCTGGAAGGGGGCATGTCAAACTTCTGCAATGGGACCATTGCTTCTCCATCAAGAGCAAGGGTCCCACTCTGCATCTACTGACTGGGGACAGGCTTTTCTACTCAGCTGTGGCTGCTTTAGAGAGAACATTAACTTTAAGACATTGAAGGCTAATGAAATGAAAGCTAATCCACCTTACTATAAATCATGTGATTCCACTTCTCTAGAACAGTTATGCTGTCCATAAATCAGCCTACATGTGAGAATTGTAACATAATTTTTTTACTTTCTGACAGATTTCTGCGTAAAATGGTTGAAAAAGTAGGCATCCTGGGGAGTAAAACTCAATCCCTACATTGAATCATTTATATGATATTTATCCAGCTGCCAAGATGGAATTAATCAATACTTTCAAAACTCATCCTAAAAATATCTATAACCCATAACATCAAATAAATTATACTTCCTCTGTAACTAGCATTCCCCTTTAAGATATTCTAGTTTGTGCAATCACTTCCAGCCAGCCACCTGTTAAATAGCTTAAGAGACTATCTCCATGGGGATGCTGCCAGAAACATTCTTTATACTAACCCAATGCCATAATTACATGTAAGAACTTCTAGAATACACCCAATGATAAATACAGGATTTATAGACACAATTTACAAGTTCCTAAAAAGGAGTGGTGCACACATTAAAGGAACATAGTAAGTGCACGTGCGGGGAAGTGAGGCGCTGATGATGTATTCTTAATGACATTTAACGATCTGTACATAGACGGTTAAGTGACATACCCCACTTTGCAAAACAGGTTTTTGGTTAATGTACTAAATCGCGATGAGCATTCCAAAGACTTTTCAAAGGTTCACTGGAGAGCAGAAAAAAATTCTAGGTTCATTAACATACAATTGCATATTAATAGAACCTTTTAAATGATAGCAGCACCATTTTTTAACACCATTTATTTCCCATATAGTATATATCAGGGCTCAAAATTTAAGGTCCTGAGCTACTAGCCAGGCCTTCGAAGTTACTCGCCACCAGTTGCCCAATTATTCCCCAAACGTAAGACATATTGCAAACTACAGGTAAAGAATGTAAAAAGAATTATGCCATATTCAAATACATAGGGGGGAATTTACTAAAACGTGAGCAGACAAAAAATAGGGCAGCTGTGCATAGCAGCCAGCCAGCTTCTATCTTCAGCTTGTTCAGTTAAGCCTTGAAAATGAAAGCTGGAAGCCGATTGGTTGCCATGCACAGCTGCTCCACATTTTGACTGCTTAGTAAATTCCTCTC